TAAATATAAATCTCACAGGTCGGTTCCCACAATATATATATATATATATATATATATATATATATATATATATATATATATATATATATATATATATATATATATATATATATATATATATATATATACATATATATATATATACAACTTTAGAACACTTTCCCACCAGGAGACTCGAACCCTAGCCAGCACAGAAGCCTTCCAGCAACTGGCATAACAGGTACGCCTTAACCCTCTCCACTACCTGCTCAGACCCTTAAAAGAGAAGGTAATTTCGGAGTATTTAAATACCCCAAAGATCAACACCTCCCAAGAGCACCAGAGCAAGTGAGGGGTCATTTAGACGTTAATTTCATCAAGTCCCTGTTAATATGGGAAGATACAGTGTCTCTGCTTAAGGCATTTATATATATATATATATATATATATATATATATATATATATATATATATATATATATATATATATATATATATATATATATAAAGTTATATGCCTGTGTTTGTTTTGTAATCTGGTGAAATCCTTTAATTATTCTTATATGGTACGTACTGATGAGGCACCCTGGTTGAACGCATTTTGATACAGTGTTTATTCTTATTATCCCCTAGACAACGTATACTATTGTCCCTTTAGTTCAACAAGTCACGGTGCGTACAAGACGTAACATGGACTACGTTTCAACATAGACAGAATATAGTCAACAGTGTGCATGATTGTGGACTAAGTCTCCTCATAGACAGAATATAGACACTGGGGCTCTCTGTGTTCACAACACTACCCAGCTGGACGACTGAGTGGCGCTCCACATGACTAACTGCTTGACTTGCAGGCGGGGAAACAATCGCAAACTGGCTAAATGGCTTACTCTCTCATTCTAGTGACTGCCCCTCTGATTGACGGTCTTGCTGGCTGGCTGGCTTGCTAGCTGGGTGGCTACCTAGCTCCCTGACTTGCTATATGATTAGCTGCCTAACTGGCTGGCTGCTTAGCTGCCAAATTGGCTGCCTAGCTAGGTGGGTGGCTACCAAGCTCCCGGACCGGCTAGATGATTAGCTGCCTAACTGGCTGGCTGCTTAGCTGCCTAATTGGCTGGTTGGCTGGCTGACTGCTTAGCTGCCTGACTGGCTGGCTCGCTTCCTAGCTGGTTGGCAGGCTGGTTGCGTAGCTGGCTGGCTGGCTGCTTAGCTGTCTTGACTGGCAGGCTGGCTAATTCGCTCTCTGACTGACTGAATGGCTGGCTGCTTAGCTACCTGAATGGTTGGCTGGCTGCTTAGCTGCCCAATTGACTGGCTAGCTGGCTGCTTAGCTGCCCGATTGATTGGCTGGCTGGCTGCTTCGCTGACTCACTAGAAGATTGGCTGCTTCGCTGACTGACTGGAAGATTGGCTGCTTCGCTGCCTGACTGGTTGGCTGCTTAGCTGCCTGACTGGCTGGCTGCTTAGCTGTCTGACTGGTTGGCTGCTTAGCTGCCTGACTGGCTGGCTGCTTAGCTGCCTGACTGGCTGGCTGCTTAGCTGCCTGACTGGCTGGCTGCTTAGCTGCCTGACTGGCTGGCTGCTTAGCTGCCGGACTGGCTGGCTGTCTGGTAGGCTGCTTAGCTGCCTGACTGAATGGCTGGCTGTGTGCTTAGCTCCAACTGGCTGGTTGGCTAGTTTGCATAATCTATAAATTGTCTACAAACACTAATTTCAATTTGGTGCATAATTTGTTATAAGGACAGGACTCATTTAACAAAATATATTGTTATTGCGTGACGATCATCATTATAATAGATCAACAGTGAACGGGAGGAGGCATCAACAGTGAACGGGAGGAGGCATCAACAGTGAACGGGAGTAGGCATCAACAGTGAACGGGAGGAGGCATTAACAGTGAACGGGAGTAGGCATCAACAGTGAACGGGAGGAGGAATCAACAGTGAACGGGAGGAGGCATCAACAGTGAACGGGAGGAGGCATCAACAGTGAACGGGAGGAGGCTTCAACAGTGAACGGGAGTAGGCATCAACAGTGAACAGGAATACTACTACGTCCCTCGAGGGTGCAGTAGTACCCCAGGTAGCAATTCTTTCCATAATGTGGTGTCATAGAGGACTAGAAGGCACATCTGGGGTCTTGCTACTATACCTAAAGATGAGGGAAGAATATTCAGGTCACCAGGAGCAACGGCTCTTAATTTCTACAATAACTCAATCTTAACAGACGCTCTTGACTGGTCTCATCACTTAACAATTATCTAACTAGGCAGTAATGAAGTCCACCCTTCACGTACCCCAACTGTGATTATAGATAACTTTAGGAGTGTATTCAATTCATTTACAACAAACAATTCAACTGTCATGTTTACTCCTAATGGACCACACCAACCACCAGAAAATAACCAGTAGGGAGTGAGCACTGAGTTTTATACACATACAGCTAACAATATGAATTACCATCTGAGGAGAAGAGTACATCTGGGTGCCACCTTAAATCACTTTACTGCCCGTCTATTCCGCAGAGAACATTTCTCCAGATGGAGTAGACCTCTCATGAGAATCTCAAGCATACGTGGCTAATAAAATAATCAATACCATTAAATATCACAAGAGGTTGATGAGAGGATACCAAACCTAGATCTTTATATATTTCTCTAATGGAAACATTTAACATATAAAATTAAGAAAACAAATATATTATATTGCTCCTTTGTCTCTATTGCACGATATATCTCCAGTAGCTAGTTGCCAACCCACATTTGGGTAGGATATTACTATAGACTAGTGTTAATAGTGAGCAGCCTAGTCCCATTAAAATAATTTTGCCAACCTGCATTAAGGGTAGGATATATTACTAAAGCCTAAATATATTCTAAAGAGTGAACAACCTAGCACCATTTAAATATGGTGCAGACCCTTATATAGTGTAGGATCAGTAACAACACGAGTTGTGTTGTGAACATAACCAATGTACCTGTATCATATGACCATATACTCATATTATTTTATATTTACCTATAATCATATCACGTTGACCAGACCACACACTAGAAGTTGAAGGGAAGACGACGTTTCGGTCTGTCCTAGACCATTCTCAAGTCGATTGTGAGAATGGTCCAGGACGGACCGAAACGTCGTCGTCCCTTCAACTTCTAGTGTGTGGTCAGGTCATTATACTTCAGCCACATTATTGTGACTCATCGCCTGCATAATCATATCACCTTTCAGTGTTAATAAGTGTTACTAATCCATCCAATGGTGATAAAGAAGGGCTAACCTGAGGAATTCCCAGTGACATCACATCTCAAGGTATTGTGTGAGATAATATAAAATTTACTATTTTATTTGCCAACCTCCCAGAGATAGGATTATAGCATAGTGATAGAAAATGTAACCCTAGGCTACTATCATTAGTACTAGCTCAGGATTTATGAGCAAGTATCCTAGCTACATTAATACCAACCAAATGTGCCCTGCAAAGCCTAAGCAATTAGCCAGCATGACTAACTCTGAAACTAACACCAAGAGAACAATTACAGCCCTTAAGGGCCATCTCGCAAGACAACTAAATAAGTGCCATAGTTTGAACACTCAGTCAATAGTTGATCACTTACAACTGGAAATTGCAGTTCAAATAGCCACTGACAAATTTAACCGCATCAAGAAATTAATAGATAATTATCGAATTGAACTTTCAAATATTTCTTTATCTGCTGATGAACTGAACACAATCCTAGTAGACGTAGACCAGTATGAGGACAAAACCCAGACTGGATTAAGTCATTATTCCCTCATTCTGGGAAAAAGCCTCAAAGCCTCATCTACAGCAGCATCCCCTAACACTACACAAGCACAAGTTTAACGGCCTTCGATCAGTTTACCCACATTCTCTTGGACAGAGAATGAAATATGAGATAGCTTATGGAATAAATTTGTTGACTGAGGATTCTAAACATACAAATCCCAAATCCACCAAATTCACATAGCTACAGGGTCAACTTAAGAGTGAAGCTGAAAAGGTGGTAACAAATTGAACCTTAAGTAGTGACGTCTATGATCTCGCAGTTCAGCACCTCAAGGCTAATTATGCTAACAAAGAGGGAGCTGTTGCACACCTAGTCCACATATTGTTGGACTTATAACCAACTAATTCTCACACTGACTCATTCCAAGCATTCACACTGGAGCTGGAGTCAATATTTAAAGCACTCAGCCATAAGTTTGAGTGACTCCTCTGTCACTGTACAGTGACTCCTCCCTGTCTTTGTACACTGGCTCCTGGCACTGTACAGTGACTCCTCCCTGTCTTTGTACACTGGCTCCTGGCACTGTACAGTGACTCCTCCCTGTCTTTGTACACTGGCTCCTGGCACTGTACAGTGACTCCTCCCTGTCTTTATACACTGGCTCCTGGCACTGTACAGTGACTCCTCCCTGTCTTTATACACTGGCTCCTGGCACTGTACAGTGACTCCTCCCTGTCTTTGTACACTGGCTCCTGGCACTGTACAGTGACTCCTCCCTGTCTTTGTACACTGGCTCCTGGCACTGTACAGTGACTCCTCCCTGTCTTTGTACACTGGCTCCTGGCACTGTACAGTGACTCCTCCCTGTCTCACTGGCTCCTGGCACTGTACAGTGACTCCTCCCTGTCTTTATACACTGGCTCCTGGCACTGTACAGTGACTCCTCCCTGTCTTTGTACACTGGCTCCTGGCACTGTACAGTGACTCCTCCCTGTCTTTGTACACTGGCTCCTGGCACTGTACAGTGACTCCTCCCTGTCTTTATACACTGGCTCCTGGCACTGTACAGTGACTCCTCCCTGTCTTTGTACACTGGCTCCTGGCACTGTACAGTGACTCCTGTCACTGTACAGTGACTCCTGTCACTGTACAGTGACTCCTCAGTTACTGTAGGAGGGGGAAGGAGCGAAAGAAATCTCTGTTATGACTAACTAAAGTATTTACTTACAATTAAAATCACACAACCAATGGCATTTGATTTAAGGTTGTTGCATTAACAATTTATGGGTGATGTGGAAGTTTTTTCCCACCACTGTCGCTGATTGTCTGGTAGCTTGCCACCTGAACCACTTGTGTTGTTTGGTAGCTTGCCTCGTGAACCACTTGTGTTGTTTGGTAGCTTGCCTCGTGAACCACTTGTGTTGTTTGGTAGCTTGCCTCGTGAACCACTTGTGTTGTCTGGTAGCTTGCCTCGTGAACCACTTGTGTTGTCTGGTAGCTTGCCTCGTGAACCACTTGTGTTGTCTGGTAGCTTGCCTCGTGAACCACTTGTGTTGTCTGGTAGCTTGCCTCGTGAACCACTTGTGTTGTCTGGTAGCTTGCCTCGTGAACCACTTGTATTGTCTGGTAGCTTGCCTCGTGAACCACTTGTATTGTCTGGTAGCTTGCCTCGTGAACCACTTGTATTGTCTGGGAGCTTGCCTCGTGAACCACTTGTATTGTCTGGTAGCTTGCCTCGTGAACCACTTGTATTGTCTGGTAGCTTGCCTCGTGAACCACTTGTGTTGTCTGGTAGCTTGCCTCGTGAACCACTTGTGTTGTCTGGTAGCTTGCCTCGTGAACCACTTGTGTTGTCTGGTAGCTTGCCTCGTGAACCACTTGTGTTGTCTGGTAGCTTGCCACCTGAACCACTTGTGTTGTCTGGTAGCTTGCCTCGTGAACCACTTGTATTGTCTGGGAGCTTGCCTCGTGAACCACTTGTATTGTCTGGTAGCTTGCCTCGTGAACCACTTGTGTTGTCTGGGAGCTTGCCTCGTGAACCACTTGTGTTGTCTGGTAGCTTGCCTCGTGAACCACTTGTGTTGTCTGGTAGCTTGCCTCGTGAACCACTTGTGTTGTCTGGTAGCTTGCCTCGTGAACCACTTGTGTTGTCTGGTAGCTTGCCACCTGAACCACTTGTATTGTCTGGTAGCTTGCCACCTGAACCACTTGTATTGTCTGGTAGCTTGCCTCGTGAACCACTTGTGTTGTCTGGTAGCTTGCCTCGTGAACCACTTGTATTGTCTGGTAGCTTGCCTCGTGAACCACTTGTGTTGTCTGGTAGCTTGCCTCGTGAACCACTTGTGTTGTCTGGTAGCTTGCCTCGTGAACCACTTGTATTGTCTGGTAGCTTGCCTCGTGAACCACTTGTGTTGTCTGGGAGCTTGCCACCTGAACCACTTGTGTTGTCTGGTAGCTTGCCACCTGAACCACTTGTATTGTCTGGTAGCTTGCCACCTGAACCACTTGTATTGTCTGGTAGCTTGCCACCTGAACCACTTGTGTTGTCTGGGAGCTTGCCACCTGAACCACTTGTGTTGTCTGGGAGCTTGCCACCTGAACCACTTGTGTTGTCTGGGAGCTTGCCACCTGAACCACTTGTGTTGTCTGGGAGCTTGCCTCGTGAACCACTTGTGTTGTCTGGGAGCTTGCCACCTGAACCACTTGTATTGTCTGGTAGCTTGCCACCTGAACCACTTGTGTTGTCTGGGAGCTTGCCACCTGAACCACTTGTGTTGTCTGAGAGTTTGCCACCTGAACCACTTGTGTTGTCTGGTAGCTTGCGTCGTGAACCACTTGTGTTGTCTGGGAGCTTGCCACTTGAACCACTTGTGTTGTCTGGGAGCTTGCCACCTGAACCACTTGTGTTGTCTGGGAGCTTGCCTCGTGAACCACTTGTGTTGTCTGGTAGCTTGCCACCTGAACCACTTGTGTTGTCTGGGAGCTTGCCTCGTGAACCACTTGTGTTGTCTGGTAGCTTGCCACTTGAACCACTTGTGTTGTCTGAGAGCTTGCCACCTGAACCACTTGTATTGTCTGGGAGCTTGCCACTTCAACCACTCGCATCTTTCATTGTATGGCGATTCGTCACTGTCACCGGTTGCCTGGTCGAGGACCGAACCGTGGGGACTCTAAGCCCTGAAATCATATCAAGATAACCATCTCAAGATAACTGCCTCGGGCGAAATATCGCCTGAACCCGGGTGTCATTTTGTCTGGCCCATCTCATCCTGCTAAGTCTTTACACCAAAGTCGTCTTTCTCACACTAGCCTTAATAACGTAAAACATACATTGGACCGCGTAATATCTCTTCAGGTAGGACGAGTGCGAGGCTCGAATTTTAGACGGCGATCGCAAGACCATCAACAGTGAACAGGATGCGTCAACAGTGAATGTTGTGCCCAGACTGCTGATTTAGGAATTACTGAATGTAAATATTATCAATAAATTTAATCTGGGGATGTGGCAATAATTCCCAATTATTATAATAATTCCCAGCAGTCTCGACCCCGAATTTATTTACATGATTGAAGAATGTGATTGGTGTCGGAATTTCCGACATTTCGTGAACATGTCTTCGTGAACATGTCTGTCGTGAACATGAATGTCGTGAACATGTCTGTCGTGAACATGAATGTCGTGAACATGTCTGTCGTGAACATGAATGTCGTGAACATGTATGTCGTAAACATGTCTACCGTGAACATGTATGTCGTGAACATGTCTGTTGCAACAGAAGAGTTGCAGCAGACACACTCGATCTATTCGAACGTTAAAGAGATCGAGGGAATCGGTATAGCAACGATTCGCTTCGTATAAATATACAAAGGGTCCCATTAGTACTCCCGACTTCGTACTCGATGCCCAATCGAAATTTCCGGTGTTCGAATCCCGGGCGGGATAGAAATGGTTGGGCACATTGCCTATCACCCAAGGCTCCCGTGCACCTATAAGTCTGTACTCAGGAGTTAGCAGCTTGTTGTGGGTTGCATTCTGGGCAGGGTCAGTAATGCGACCTTGGCAGGGGGGGGGGGAGGGACCATAAAAGCCTATAACGTGTATGAATACACTCTGGCTACCTGTCCCCCGATACAATGAATTATTATGAATTATACCGAGACACGAACTGGAGTGATGACCAAACGACTCATCAGAAGATGAAGACCACGTTTCTGTCCGTCCAGGACCATTACCAAGCCAGGCAACTAATAATGGTTCAAGATGGACCGAAACGTCGTCATCTTCTCATCTTCTGAGGAGTGGTTTGGACATCATGTCTTCAGCCCCGGTATTGTGACTCATCGTCTGCACTGGGAATGGTGTTGCTCACTGAGCAGCGAAGGTGCATAGTCAGGTGTGCCTCTGACGCCAGGCTCGCCTGGGGTACCTGCCCACCTGGGGTACCTGCCCACCTGGGGTACCTGCCCACCTGGGGTACTTGCCCAGCTGCTGTACCTGCCCACCTGGGGTACCTGCCCACCTGCTGTATCTGCCCACCTGGGATACCTGCCCACCTGCTGTAACTGCCCACCTGGGGTACCTGCCCACCTGGGGTACCTGCTCACCTGGGGTTATCTTGAGGTTATCTTGAGATGATTTCGGGGCTTTTAGTGTCCCCGCGGCCCGGTCCTCGACCAGGCCTCCACCCCCAGGAAGCAGCCCGTGACAGCAGACTAACTCCCAGGTACCTATTTACTGCTAGGTAACAGGGGCATTCAGGGTGAAAGAAACTTTGCCCATTTGTTTCTGCCTCGTGCGGGAATCGAACGCGCGCCACAGAATTACGAGTCCTGCGCGCTATCCACCAGGCTACGAGGCCCCCTAGTACCTGCCCACATGGGGTACCTACCCAACTGGGGTACCTGCTCACCTGGGGTACCTGCCCATCTGCTGTACCTGCCCACCTGGGGTACCTGCCCACCTGGGGTACCTGCCCACCTGGGGTACCTGCCCACCTGCTGTACCTGCCCACCTGGGGTACCTGCCCACCTGGGGTACCTGCCCACCTGGGGTACCTGCCCACCTGGTGTACCTGCCCACCTGGGGTACCTGCCCACCTGGGGTACCTGCCCACCTGGTGTACCTGCCCACCTGGGGTACCTGCCCACCTGGTGTACCTGTCCACCTGGGGTACCTGCCCACAAGCTGTACCTGCCCCCCACCTGCTGTACCTGTCCACCTGGGGTACCTGCCCACCTGGGGTACCTGCCCACCTGCTGTACCTGCCCACCTGGGGTACCTGCCCACCATCTGTACCTGCCCACCTGCTGTACCTGCCCACCTGGGGTACCTGCACACCTGGGGTACCTGCTCACCTGGTGTACCTGCCTATCTGGGGTACCTGCCCACCTGGGGTACCTGCCCACCTGGGGTACCTGCCCACCTGGGGTACCTACCCACCTGGGGTACCTGCTCACCTGGGGTACCTGCCCATCAGCTGTACCTGCCCACCTTGGGTACCTGCCCACCTGGGGTACCTGCCCACCTGGGGTACCTGCCCACCTGGGGTACTTGCCCACCTGCTTTACCTGCCCACCTGGGGTACCTGCCCACCTGGGGTACCTGCCCACCTAGGGTACCTGCCCACCTGGTGTACCTGCCCACCAGGTGTACCTGCCCACCTGGGGTACCTGCCCACCTGCTGCACCTGTTCACCTGCTGTACCTGCCCACCTGGGGTACCTGCCCACCTGGGGTACCTGCATCCACCTGGGGTACCTACCCACCTGGGGTACCTGCTCACCTGGGGTACCTGCCCATCTGCTGTACCTGCCCACCTGGGGTACCTGCCCACCTGGGGTACCTGCCCACCTGGGGTACCTGCCCACCTGGGGTACCTGCCCACCTGGGGTACCTGCCCACCTGGGGTACCTGCCCACCTTGGGTACCTGCCCACATGGGGTACCTGCCCACCTGGGGTACCTGCCCACCAGGGGTACCTGCCCACCTGCTGTACCTGCCCACCTGGTGTACCTGCCCACCTGGGGTACCTGCCCACCTGGGGTACCTGCCCACCTGCGGTACCTGCCCACCTGGGGTACCTGCCGACCTGGGGTACCTGCCGACCTGGGGTACCTGCCCACCTGGGGTACCGGCCCATCTGCTGTACCTGCCCACCTGGGGTACCTGCCCACCTGGGGTACCTGCCCACCTGCGGTACCTGCCCACCTGGGGTACCTGCCCACCTGGGGTAACTGCCCACCTGGAGTACCTGCCCACCTGCTGTACCTGCCCACCTGCTGTACCTGCCCACCTGGGGTACCTGCCCACCTGGGGTATCTGCCCACCTGCTGTACCTGCCCACCTGGGGTACCTGCCCACCTGGGGTACCTGCCCACCTGCGGTACCTGCCCACCTGGGGTGCCTGCCCACCTGGGGTACCTGCCCACCTGCTGTACCTGCCCACCTGGGGTACCTGCCCACCTGGGGTACCTGCTCACCTGGGGTACCTGCCCACCTGGTGTACCTGCCCACCTGGTGTACCTGCCCACCTGGGGTACCGGCCCACCTGGGGTACCTACCCACCTGGGGTACCTGCCCACCTGGGGTACCTGCCCACCTGGTGTACCTGCCCACCTGGGGTACCTGCCCACCTGGGGTACCTGCCCACCTGGGGTACCTGCCCACCTGCTGTACCTGCCCACCTGGTGTACCTGCCCACCTGCTGTACCTGCCCACCTGGGGTACCTGCCCTCCTTGGGTACCTGCCCACCTGGGGTACCTGCCCACCTGCTGTACCTGCCCACCTGGGGTACCTGCCCACCTTGGGTACTTGCCCAGCTGCTGTACCTGCCCACCTGGGGTACCTGCCAACCTGGTGTACCTGCCCACCTGAGGTACCTGCCCACCTGCTGTATCTGCCCACCTGGGATACCTGCCCACCTGCTGTACCTGCCCACCTGGGGTACCTGCCCACCTGGGGTACCTGCCCACATGGGGTACCTACCCACCTGGGGTACCTGCTCACCTGGGGTACCTGCCCATCTGCTGTACCTGCCCACCTGGGGTACCTGCCCACCTGGGGTACCTGCCCACCTGGGGTACCTGCCACCTGGGGTACCTGCCCACCTGGTGTACCTGCCCACCTGGTGTACCTGCCCACCTGGGGTACCTGCCCACCTGGGGTACCTGCCCACCTGGTGTACCTGCCCACCTGCTGTACCTGCCCACCTGGGGTACCTGCCCACCTGGTGTACCTGCCCACCTGGTGTACCTGCCCACCTGCTGTACCTGCCCACCTGGGGTACCTGCCCACCATCTGTACCGGCCCTCCTGCTGTACCTGCCCACCTAAGGTACCTGCACACCTGGGGTACCTGCTCACCTGGTGTACCTGCCCACTTGGGGTACCTGCCCACCTGGGGTACCTGCCCACCTGGGGTACCTGCCCACCTGGGGTACCTGGCCACCTGGGGTACCTGCCCACCTGGTGTACCTGGCCACCTGGGGTACCTGCCCACCTGGGGTACCTGCCCACCTGGGGTACCTGCCCACCTGGGGTACCTACCCACCTGGGGTACCTGCTCACCTGGGGTACCTGCCCATCTGCTGTACCTGCCCTCCTGGGGTACCTGCCCACCTGGTGTACCTGCCCACCTGGTGTACCTGCCCACCTGGGGTACCTGCCCACCTGCTGCACCTGTTCACCTGCTGTACCTGCCCACCTGGGGTACCTGCCCACCTGGGGTACCTGCATCCACCTGGGGTACCTACCCACCTGGGGTACCTGCTCACCTGGGGTACCTGCCCATCTGCTGTACCTGCCCACCTGGGGTACCTGCCCACGTGGTGTACCTGCCCACCTGGGGTACCTGCCCACCTGGGGTACCTGCCCACCTGGGGTACCTGCCCACCTGGGGTACCTGCCCACCTGGGGTACCTGCCCACATGGGGTACCTGCCCACCTGGGGTACCTGCCCACCTGGGGTACCTGCCCACCTGCTGTACCTGCCTACCTGGGGTACCTGCCCACCTGGGGTACCTGCCCACCTGCGGTACCTGCCCACCTGGGGTACCTGC